TATATTCCGTGTTCTACTCCAAGGCACTCCGCTACTCCCAGGCTACTTTCGGAGACGGAAAGTGAATGTACTCAGGCCTTGGTTGCCTTTTTTTGTATATATATCGGCGGCAGAAGTGAATGCAGCCTCATAGTACCTGCGACTAAGGTCAATCGTACGAAGACAATAGGTCATTATACCAATGAACGTTGCTTCCAAATCAAATATTCGGAACAGAAACAGTGTGTGAAATATACTCTTAAAGCTCTTCAAAACAGACCCAAAAGTGTGATATCAGTGGGAGAATACGAAAAGGTCGAGGCGGAAAGAAAAAAAAAAGCTTAAGTGAAAGGATGAAAATTGGTGTCTGTGGCGGGGAGGGTGAGGGTGAGGTGAATGGGGGAGGGGGAGGGGGGGGAGGTTAGTTTTTTTGTGTGTTTTGTGTCGATATTCAGTCTGAAAAGGAACTAGTGACATGGTTGTGATTAGTGATCTTCGGGAATACAGAGGACATCGGTTGTTTCGATATGCATTAGTGTTTCACGGCAACACCATATGTAAAAGGCGGTCTTCGAAGTGCAAAACGTATTCGTTATGTTTGTGAATCAGTTAACGATATTCCAAGTGCAGTGTAATGCTGAAAATAATCAACATATATATTTCAGTGTGTCACTTTCGGGATTGGTGACCTTTTTAAACGTGCAATATATTTCGTTAAGCCAGTTGATCTGAAGGTCCCACCAACGCTAAAAATTATCATCGTGACACTGCCTCAAGGAAGCTATAACGGGAACATTAATATCCGAATGACGGTGTTATTCCTCGACTAGTGATCTCGCTGGGTCGACGAAGGCCTTCCAATATATTCCGTGTTCTACTCCAAGGCACTCCGCTACTCCCAGGCTACTTTCGGAGACGGAAAGTGAATGTACTCAGGCCTTGGTTGCCTTTTTTTTGTATATATATCGGCGGCAGAAGTGAATGCAGCCTCATAGTACCTGCGACTAAGGTCAATCGTACGAAGACAATAGGTCATTATACCAATGAACGTTGCTTCCAAATCAAATATTCGGAACAGAAACAGTGTGTGAAATATACTCTTAAAGCTCTTCAAAACAGACCCAAAAGTGTGATATCAGTGGGAGAATACGAAAAGGTCGAGGCGGAAAGAAAAAAAAAAGCTTAAGTGAAAGGATGAAAATTGGTGTCTGTGGCGGGGAGGGTGAGGGTGAGGTGAATGGGGGAGGGGGAGGGGGGGGAGGTTAGTGAACGTGTGCCCAGAGCTCGTGGCGGGAGAGAACGTTCCGTTGCAAAATATAAAATGGAGGATGGAAAGCAAATCGCGTCACGACTTTTATGTAGTGTGTGTGTGTGTCTGTGCACTTATAAATGCGAAACGTAATCGAATTGTTGAAGCTAATGTTTTTTTGTGGTTTTGTTCTTTCCTCCTTTTTACAACAGATGTGTTAAGATGTGAAAGTCTCTCCTCATTCATAAACATGGTCTTGTGTATGCAACTTAGAACAGAACAGTTTCGACTATGATCTCGCTAAGTGAAATTCAAGCGACGATGTACATAGTGTCCTTACGGTGACGATTCAAGCTGCTGAGTCTAGTCCTACCACGCTTACTTCCCCGGCATCGCATTGTACCAAGATGATTTGTACCACTCTCCCCGTCGTAAATTATACCCCCGGGAACATGAACATACAAACGTTTTCCCTCCGACAAGCTCTCAAGGTGAGTTGTTGTGGTGCGTTGTCATGAGGGCGGGTCGTGTTGCAGTAGGTCTATGGGGGTTTTCTTTTTTTCTTCTTCTGCTTTCTTTCCTTCTTTCTTTCTTTCTTTCTTACACCAGCGTTTTTTGTGCGTGTATTATTCGCCTCTTTTGCTTTTCTCTCCTCGCCTCGTCTTCTCTCGTATCTTTTCTCTCTTTGTTTGCTTTTTTATCTCTTTCTTTCTTGCTTGCTTGCTTGCTTTCTCCTTTTATGTTCTTTCTCTCTTCTCTCTCTCCATTTGTGTGTGCATGCGTGCGTGCGTGCGTGCGTACGTGCGTGAGACAGAGACAGACAGATATAGACATAGACACAGACAGGCAGAGAGACAGACAGGGGAGTGATAGCCGCGCTCCGTGTTTATTTAGGAATTTGAGCCTTTTCCTATTAATCTTGTTATCGCCGATCTCAGGTAATCGGGGATTAAACAATTGTGCCTCGCCACGCCGATCTGTAATTTACCGATTGAAATCCGATAAGTTTCAGAGGCCCCAAGATTTCGGACTAATGGGCGCCGTGATAAGTCTAATGGACAAGGTTGTGCTGTCGTTATATCAGTTTACAATAAGCTTGAATTTCAGTGTTTAGATTTTTTTCTGTGAAGGTTTCCTCTTCGTAAGGAATGTTTTTCTATTATGTTTCAATAAAAACACAAGAAAAATACCCAAATATAAGCTTTGGAACGAAATAGCCTCGGAATATGCAGATTACCAGCATGATGGATTAGGAAACGCTTGGGGATCTAATTTCATATTCCGGGTTTTAGGCTTAGTCGCTTCGAGTAATTGTACGGAAAGCCATAGGGCGTGCGTCATGCAGGGCAGAAGTGAAGCGTCGTCAGGCACATGAGGCGGGCGCGGCGAATCGGGCACGGCCACCGCACGGCGCCCATTCTCGTACGTGTGGCGGCCCCGTCAAGGTAAAACAACTTTTATTGCGATGATCCTTGGCGGAAAAGCGTCACGGCTGAACGAGTTTTGTTTTATTTTTCATTTTTATTTCTATATTTTATTATCTTTTTTCTTGGCTTTTTTGTGTGTATGTTTGTGGATGTATAACATTTGCTTTGTGTTCGTGAGAAATAGAAACTCCGAAGCTTCTACCACGCATTTCTTTTCTTTTCGAAGGCGAAGACCACTTTACATTCCTCGTATTATTGTCATATTCTGGCACCATTCATCGGCCACTTGATAAGAAGACGGCGAGGTAACCCACATAATTTCCCGAGTATTTCCGTTACTCGCCTGAGGCCAGAGCTTGTTGGGGGGTGGGGGGGGGTGGATTCACGTCGAGCAACATCCCAGGCAGGAACTCGCAACATACAAACACCAATTCATTTATAACGCGATATGTTGTCTTGTGCTATGTGGCCCCGTTATGTTGACATCGATTATCATTCCGACTAATTTATCGAGAGGATGACATTATGGTTTTCAGGCCGAGTCAGTTCACGATCCACATTCCTGGTGAGGGTAATAAACGTTTTTTTTTTTTTTTAATCTGTTGAAACGTTTGCTCGCGTCATCCAGCTGACCTTATTGTTGCCCGAGAGAATATTGAGTAATTTGATCCGCATTTCGACGGAGGAATTGCAACGTGATATAATTGCCTTTGTCCGATGCGCATTCCGTTTCGCTTTTTTTTTTAACGAAATTAAGTGACGATGCGTAGCGACATATGGTTTGGCCACTTTTTTCTCTTTTGTTTCCCTCTCTCTCTTTCTATTCTTTTAACAGAAGTCATTTAGTTTCGAGAGAATGAAAAGAATGATTTTGGTGTTTAAACATGTACAAAGACAAAGTGTAATTTCTCCATGTGGTAGATGAGGTGTTACAATAATGGCTTCGGACATTCCAAACTGGTCTACATGCAATTACCAAAGGGGATTGTCGTGACCCCCCCTGAGCCCTGGACCTCGCCCTCTTCGTCCTCCCCCCCCCCTCCCTTCCTCCTCCTCCTCTTCCCTCCCAGAGCCCACCCCGCTCCCCCTTTTTACCGTGCGTGCTCCACCTCACCCCACTCCACCCTTCGTACCCCACCTCACTCCTGTCCTTTACCCACCACCTCACCCTCCCCCCCTTGTCTCATACCCACCTACCTCACCCCCCCTATCTCATACCCACCTCCCTCACCCCTCTGTTTCATACCCACCCACCCCACCCTGTCTCATACCCACCACCTCACCGCCCCCTGTCCTATACCCACCTCTCTCACCCCCCTACATGATGCCCACCTCCCGCTCATCCCCCCCTCCCCCACCGTGACAGCTAACCCACCCCCCCTCTGTCTCATTCCCTCGGACATTGTGACCGCCGCACTTCTTGGAATGGAATGTCGCCCGCTCTCCTCTTTGTAGTATTTTGTGTGGAGACTTGTCACCTTTTCCACCGAGAAGTTAGAAGAGTATTTGTAGCAATGCATATATAATTGGTGCTCGTTGTACTGTTGCTTTGACGTTCGCAGTGGGATACTTTGAATGCGGGTTGTCGTTTCAATAGGAAATAGTTGGATAGTGTGACGGAATGTTCTGTTAGTTTCTGATCCATCACTCGGGAGGCGACGTATCAGTGGGCTGACGTCTGCTGTGTAGTCAGCCGTGATGATGTAAAATGATATCCTTTAGACTTGTTTTTCCTGTTCATTTTTAGTATAATATATATATATATATATATATATATATATATATATATATATATATATATATATATATATATATTATACTCAGTGTTTTTGTATCAATGGAAGGAGGGAGGGAAAAATGAACTAAAATGGAGTGATTGATAAATCCGAGAAAATGGTGACCATAAAATGTAGGCTTTGAGTCGTGCCTGGAGGAATATTCCTGTTTTGGAATTTGGCCTTTTGGATTCCCAGGAATGTTGTGGCGGGGCGAACCGCAGGGGGGGTGATTGTTCGACCCTTTGTTGGATTACCGGGGGGGGGGATTCCAGCAGCTGCGGGAACCCAAGTTGGAACCTTAGGGTCGCCATTCGAGAGGAAGAAATTTGTATTGTAACATTGATGTCGTTGTGACAGAGCCTATACACGTCTCGCAGGAATATGGAATGCAGTCGCCATGAATGGTGTTTTTCGGAGATTCACATGCTTATTCCATTTTCCTGAGGTACTTTGTAGACCAAACCATATATGTTACGGTTTCATCACATTTTAATCCAATTAATTTTTAGCAATAGATATTTTACGTCCCGCCGCATTATACTAACTTCCTCTGTTTCTTCTCCGCAGGAACTCTTCTCTCAGCTACAGTACAGCCATGAGTCCGCGCTGCCGCCCGACGCCCTCCGCCGCGCCCTCGCCCAGACCTTCTACAACCAGCAGCGCTTCCAGCTGGGCTTCATGGACGACGCCGCCGAGTGCTTCGAGAACATTCTGCTGCGGATCCACTTCCACATCGCCAGCGGGGAGGCCGAGGACATGTGCAACGCGCGCCACTGCATTCCGCACCAGCGCTTCGCCATGACGCTGGTCGAGCAGAGCGTCTGCGGCGACTGCGGGGCCACGTCCGAGCCGCTGCCCTTCACGCAGATGGTGCACTACGTGTCGGCCTCGGCGCTCACCGCACAGGCCAGGCAGATGCAGGACCCCGCCGTGTCGGGCTCGCAGCCGCAGGTCTCCCTCGACATGTTCGGCCAGCTCCTGAAGAAGGCCGGCGGCATGGGGGACATCAGAGATTGCCCTGTGAGTGCTTCAGGAATTATGCTTTGGAATAGATAAAGACATGCGTGTGTGTGTGTGTGTGTATACACATGCAAATATATATAGATATATACATACATATATAGCATCATAGCTGGACATGCATACATATCACTATACTTTTTTATATATACCAGTTAGTGTGTTATAATCCGTATCATTATCTTAATAACCATTATTTTCTCTCGTCCCCAGAGCGCCTGCGGGGCCAAAATACAGATCTGCCGGACGCTGATGAACCGGCCCGAGATCGTGTCCATCGGCGTGGTGTGGGACTCAGAGCGGCCGACGCTGGAGCACATCATGGCCGTGTTCGCCACCGTGGGCACGACGCTGCGACTCCGCGACGTGTTCCAGAGTGTTGTGGACGACCGCTGGGCTCAGCACACGCAACACCAGCTGGTCGGAGTTGTCACCTACTACGGAAAGCATTACTCCACCTTCTTTTATCACACGAAGCTCCGAGTGTGGATATACTTCGACGATGCGACAGTACGAGAAATAGGGCCGCACTGGGAGCAGGTCGTCGACAAGTGTCGTCGCGGCCACTTTCAGCCCCTCCTGCTGCTCTATGCCAATCCCAGTGGCACGCCCGTGCCCGTCGACACAGCCCCACGGACGGTGTCCCTCGTGCCGGGCCACCGGACCAGCAACCGGGCAGCGCAGCCTCCCCATAAAGGCTCGGCGGCCGGGGAGCCCTACTCGCAGGCCACGACCCGCCGCGCCGTCACGCCCAACCCCGAGAAGTGCGTGGACGTGAGCGGGCCGACGCCGCGGCGCGCCATCACGCCCAGCCCCGAGGTGGCGGCCCAGCGCGACGGCCACCGCGACTACCAGAACATCCACACCGTGACGCAGGTGTACCAGGACGGCGCCGGCGAGGCTCACAGCGACGACGTGTTCGACCAGGGCACGTCCAACTACCGGCGGCAGCTGGAGAGCATCAAACAGAGCGGCTCCGTGCTGCCGAACAAGCCCAGCATCCCCGGCCGCGGCAGACTCGACTCCGACGACTCCGTCTACGCCGGCAGGAGGAACGACTCGCAGCGGCAGGAGCGCCAGCGGTCCGTCAGCTGCAGCGGCAGCGGCTACAATCAGCACGGCAACAGAAACAGCAATTCGTCCCTCGAGCAGTTCGAGAAGGACGGCCTCAAGATGCCCGAGGGAGGAAACGTCCCGCGGCGCCGCGACTCCGGCAACTGGAGCGGCGACCGGAACAGCGCATCGTCGTCGTCGTCGACGTCGCTCGAGAATCCGTACCTGTTCATCGTGGGCAAGGCCGGCCGCCAGCCCCCCTCGCCCACCGCCAAGGCGCCGCCCAGCCCCTCGCGCGGCGACCACCCCGAGTATGCGAATCTGGGCGTGGGCGTCCCCGGGCACCCGCACAACCACGCCCCCAGCGGGCAGCAGCCCAGCGCGGCGCCCAACGGCCAGTACGACCCCGGCTACGACTCCTACTCGCTCTCTTCGAACGACTCCTATCCAATTCAGCAGAATCTGAAGCATAACTTGCAGGTAAGGAGCAGCCTCATCACCTGGCGTGCGAAACGTAGAAATCAGTGATGTTCATCCTTGATTTTTTTTAACCCTTTAAATTCCTTTAAACTAATGCCCTCTTGTCTCTTGCAGCAGCTTCAACAAATCCCAGAATGTGTGCAGGCGAGCGACAGCCCCGGAACGTACACGGGCGGGAGTCAGCAAGATAGCAGCAGCGTCAGCACCCTTACAGAAAGCGAGGCTGGAGGAAACTGCGAGGCTTTGTGCCTGGCTGCGGACTCGCTGCTGGAGGAAGCCAGAGCGCGCGAGGAGGCCGGAGACCTTCCCGTTAGTATATAATGCTTTTAATGATGCTAATGTTCATCAGTATATTTCACTCATATCAGCATATTTCGTTACTACTTGATTTCATTAATTAGCAATCGCCTAGAATCACCTCATTTTAGCCTCAAATGTCCGAAATACCACTCTAACCTGCCCCGTTCCTCCCCAGGGCGCCCTCGACCTGTGCAATGCCGCGGCGGCCAAGACCCGAGCCGCCATGGACGCCCCCTACAACAACGCCCACTCGCTGACCTTCGCGCGCATGAAGCACAACACGTGCGTCATGCGGGCGAGGTCGCTGCACCGACGCATCCTCATCCAGGAGGAGACTGCAGCGTGGGAAGGCCAATACAAAATGGGTAAGCATTTATTTGCAGTTATGTTGTTATGCCTGGCTTTTAAAAAATCTATATACTGAAGAGTTTTATATATTGGTTAAATTAGGGTTTGTGTTTCATTTGTTTGTGTGTAAAGCCGAGATTAATTATTTTTCGGTGTCTGTACATTATGAACGGTTTCTCATGGACCCTCCTCCCCCCAGATGCGCCCCACCACAGTCGCCAAGGCTCGCGAGACTCGCAGAGGTCCCGCACCAGCCGCCAGGGCTCGCGCGAGGGCTCCGTCCACCACAGCCGCCAAGGGTCCCGCGATGCCTCCAGCGGCTCCCAGGCCAGGTCGCAGGACCAGCTGGACACGGCCGTCACCCTGGCACAGACGGCTGAGAAGTTGCAGACGACGAACATTGAAATCTACGCAACTCTGCCCAAGAAGGGAAAGAAAGCGTCGGAGAAGATGGCGAAGAAGGAGGACGTGGAAGTGCACATCGAGAGGCCGAAGGAGAAGAAGGCGGCCGAGAAGACGAAGGAGAAGGCCCACAAGGACAAGAAGAGCTCCAAGTCCCGCGCCGTGGACAGCGACTACGCCAGCGACCACAGCTCCAAGAGTTCGAAGAAGGGAGCCGACAAGGACGACGTGAACGCCATCGTGGAGGTGAAGGAAGAGAAGCCGATCGGGAAGAAGCAGCACAAGGTCAGGCGGAAGCTGCTGATGGGCGGCCTCATCCGGCGCAAGAACCGCAGCATGCCGGACCTGCGCGAGGGCCAGGACGGAGAGAACCCGAAGGCGGCCACCGATGACCTGGAAGTCCGGAGCTTCTCCCGACCGACCAACGCCCTCGAGCAAGCACAAGGTCAGGCGGAAGCTGCTGATGGGCGGCCTCATCCGGCGCAAGAACCGCAGCATGCCGGACCTGCGCGAGGGCCAGGACGGAGAGAACCCGAAGGCGGCCACCGATGACCTGGAAGTCCGGAGCTTCTCCCGACCGACCACGCCCTCGGGGGAGAAGACCATGGCGGGCTACCTGAGCGAGGGCCACCTGGAGTACAGCAACCCGAACCTGGAGCGCAGCAAGCTCATGAGGAAAAGCTTCCACGGCAGCGTCGGCAAGGGGCTCTCCCCGGCCAAGAACGCCGCGGCCCTGAAGGTGCCTCCTCCCATACCCCAGCGCATCAATTCCCAGCTTTCACAGAACGAAAAGAATCAGATTTCACAGAAGAACGACAAAAACAGCCGAAAAGACGAGAAGAAGCGAGAGAAGCGGCCGCCATATCCTCTCCCTCCCAGTGACATTGAGCAGGAGAACCCGCCCGCCCTTCCGCCTCGCTGCTACACGCCAGAGATCGTAAACAACAACAATAACAATAACATGCTGAAGACTGAACCACAGTCGCTGCCGTACATCCACACGCAAATGCAGCAGTACGATACCTACCAGACCAACTCTCTTCCTTACAACAACCCGATGTACCCGGAGCAGCATCACCAGCAGCCGCCAGGTACACCGACGCAGATAACCGTTTGCGCCGACGTCCACCAAGAGGCCACTCCGAGGGAGGCCCAGCAGCAGATGACCTACCAGCAGCTGCATCACCATCAACAGCAGCAGTATGCTCAGCAGTCTCACAAACAAGAGCCGAAAATGCAGCAGCGACAAGACGATTTCCAGCAACTGCATCAGCAGCAGCAGCAACTTTATTCCAAACAGAATCAGCAGAATCACGTGTCTTCATCTTGGCCTGAGATCTCGCACTCAAGGCAAAGCAGTGAAGACTTTCCTCCTCCTCCTCCTCCACTGGAGGAGGCTGTGGAGGATCTGAAAATTCGGGGACTCCTCCCCCCGCCCCCGCCAGAGTCCAGGGCTACACCCGAGGCCCACAGCGCCCCCGAGCCCTCGAGTCTGTTGGCTCAGCTCCAGCAGAAGCGGCAGCAGATTGTCGAGAGCAAGGACACGAATGGCGCCACGACTGATGATCGGGTGAAGCCGTTGCCGCCGAAGAGCAGCGGCGATTGGCTGCATGAGCTGCAGGCCAAGCAGGCAGCCATGCGCAAGAAAATGCAAGAACAAAACGGACCCGCGTCGGGGGCACAATCTGAGGTGAAAGAGAACAACAGCAACAGTGCAAAGGAGAACAATATCAATTCTGTAAGGAACTTGGCCTCCAAGTTTGAGAATGTGAGTGTGTCTACGACGAAACCTGAAGCAGGCCAAGACGAGGTCGACAGCCGTCTTGCGCCTCCTGCCCCTCAGCCCTCGCGCGAGGAAGTGACAGAGCGGCAGCGTGTTGTGAGTAAAGAAATGTTCACGAGAGAATACACCCAGTGTAACTCTTTACAGTTTCCGTCCCACAGTGGGCATGAGAGCAGACTTAGTTCCTCTTATCGGACACGGACCGAACACAGTGAAAGTGTTAATGCTAGTAATAAGGATAGTGTTAGTGACAGTGCCAAAGAAGATTCTGAACTTAACACAAGCACAGACACGACGTCTAGCGATGGCGCTAAAAAGAAAAAATCCAAGAAGAGTGTGACCTTCTGTGACCAGGTGGTGCTCGTCGCGACGGCCGAGGACGAGGAGGAGGACGCCTACATCCCCAACCCGATCCTCGAGAGGGTCCTGAAGTCCGCGATGACTTCCTCGATGTCTGACACGGACACTTCCTCCTGTGGAGAACCTGTGAGCCCGAGACAGAATGGCCCCACTCAGTCCTCAAAGCCCAACGTGCCCACACCTCAGGCGAGCCCCCACTACCAGTCTGTCCCTTCCCAGCCCCAGCAGCAACCCCAGCCTCAACCCCAACCCCAGTCCCAGCCCCAGCCTCAGTCCCACTTCCCTCCGGCGCCGCCACAGACGCACGCCACCCAGAGTTACCCCAACCAGCCTGCCCATTACCAGCCCCACCCCCACCCTCCCCACCCGCACCCCGCGCAGTCTTACCCCCCGCAGTCTGCCGGCCAGCATCCAGCTCAAGCCTACACCAGCCAGTCCCACTCTGCTCAACCCCACCACACCCAGCCTCTGCACGCCCACACGCACCCATCCCACCCTCACCAGACTCATGGCCAACAGTACCAGCAGCCACCTCAGAGTAACGGTGGGCAGGTGAGGCTGCCGCCACCCTACCAGCCTCCCCCCAGTGTCTCCAAACCCCTGAGCTCACATGTCCCTCCCAGCCATGGCCAGGGCAGTCAGATGCCCCACGTCGTCCATGGGCAGAGCCAGCCGCGTACCCTCTCCAATGGCCTCCACCCCGGGCAGATGCCTCATCTGATTCCGGCGGCCAGGCCGGGGCAACAGCAGCAGCCACACCACAGACACGCTCCAGGACAGCAGCAGCAGCAGCCTCCGCCACATCACTACCAGCAGCAACCGCAGCAGAGAGCGTCCGCTGTCCCCTACCCCGGGATGATGACTCGCCAGAACAGCAGCCTTGGATTCCAACACCACTCGGAAACAGAGCGAACGTTCCCTCCCTACCAGCGAGTGCCACATCCGGGCCATACGCAGGGCCAGCCACAGGCACACCCCCAAATGCACCAAGCCATGCATTCGCAGAGTCGTTCTGGCCTGCCGCCCCACAACCACACATCGTCTGCGGCATACAACCGTCAGCAGCAGTCCGGCCATCCAGGACAGCAGCAGGTTCCTCACGGACACTCGCTGCAGCAGCAGCAGCAGCCGCAGCACGGGTCCGGGTACGGAAGTGTGGGTCGCGGCGGAGTCAAGGGAGGCCCCAGTCACTTCTGTGGCCCACTAGACCCGTCAGCCATCTACACCACGGTCAACAAGGCAGGCAAGAAGTCCAACGCGGCTCCTGCCGCAGCCACGGGCAGCGCTCTCCAGCCGTGCAACTTATGTCGGAAGAAGTGTGTCAATCCGCCTTCCACCTACTGCAATGACTGCGATTTCTACATGTCCAGGTTTAAGCCGAAGGCTTAATACTCACATCCTCTTGTACATATTGCCAGTGATTCAGTCGTAAGTTTATGCATCGTAACCAAACCACAGTGTCATAAAAACAACAAATATTCTCAGTAACAAAAAGACATGACAAATTATTGTCGTAAATAATTCTTGAAGTCGCACTTGAGAAATTGTTTGATATTCAGGGGAAGACACCGACCATGTTTAAGAAAAATCCCCTCCATTGTGAAGCCAGTGTTGTTCTTTTAATGTATCTTTAGAACTATAACTCTTATTACTAAGAGTTGAACTGTTTACCATGTATTTATTTTTTAAGACTTTGTTAGTACTTAATCACCTGTACCTGTTATGCTATTTGATGACTGAGCAACACTTTGGTAACACAAAATATGACCTGGCGACTTGGAGGAAGAACTTGATGTGGTGACTAATAGACGTACCTGTGCTGTGAGGAGCCTTCGTCTTGGTTCAGCTCGCCGGCAAGCAACGGAGGTTCCAGAATTTTCTTTCATTGTGATACTAAGTTATGGATCTCAGTAGTAGCAAGTTAAGCTGTATTATTACTGTTGTTTTATATTTGTATTTATTGTACAGTCACAAAGCTTTTTTTCTGCACGCTTCTGATTGTGTGCTTGTGAATCTGACTTGTTATGTGCCAAATTGTGTACATATATATGTTGTACAAACAAATTACTCTATAAATTCTTCTGTATATTGCTGTTTTTGTATGTTTTGTAATAAACAGAGCTCTATGACGCTACAACAATACATTTTCGTTTTCTTCGCAAATCACACAATACTATATATTATTCAAACAAAGAATCTGTACAAAAATATATATTAAAGATACAAAAGATATTATACACCTTCATATCAGTATAAAGTTTTGTTTAAAATTAAAAAAATAAGCTTTAAGCATACTATATTCACGCAACAATAGAACAATTCTAAAAAATAAAAAATAAATAATAATAATAATAAAAATATCATGACCCATAATACTGAAAAAGAAATAAACATGATATAAGCAAACACAGACATCCAGCCTACACTTCCTTAATATGAATAATTGACTCAAACCTAATACAATAATCTATCTAGGTTGGTCCAATTGAACCGCTACTTACCTCCCTCCCACACAGGTTTGACAAGAAACAATCATGTTGCACTAGGCATTCGCATCCCAAAATTCATTGCGTTACACCCACAGACTCGCCATAAAAGTCCGGTTAAATTAGCAAACCTTTTTTTTTAAGGGAGAGACGATGGTAACCGTTCCATGAAAAAATATATATTTGCGAACTAACGGTTTTGTTTTCCTTTGATGTTTTTTTGTCTTTAATAGGGTGAAAAAAAGATTAATCATATATTGTATTTCCACTAATGACAACTCACCTGTGTAAAACCTGTTAACTCTCACCTAAACTACGAACTCTCCCTACCTGACTTTACTTAATTACACACCACCTGGACTTCCATTTATCACGTCCCTTCCCACACTTCATCAGACAACATTGCCTCCACCCATACCAAGGGCGTACAGTACCTGAACGCCCAGAATACGTGATGCGGCGCCAAATTCATTCACCCATTTCGCGCATCCCAAATTAAGAGAAAAGATGGAAAAAAATCAAAGTCAGTTCGAGTAGAAATTGTTCCAAGCTGATTTTCAAATAACATAGAATACAATGTGTCGCCTGGACAATAGTTTATTATTTCCATGCGAAAAAAGAAAAGATATGCCCTATATAATTCAACCTAAATTAGTTTTCAAGAGATAGCCTAATCTGGACTGCTACTCTGATCATAAACATGCTAATATAATAGCCCTTCAGCGAAAATCACATGATAATTACAGTAAAATATTAAACGAACAGCATCAAGAAAGTCTTCCTAGATGACAAATACTCCAGAGTTTACTAAGAAACCCCATGAGGTTTCTCTGTAAATCTCTCCCTCTCGTATGTACTAGTATATAAGCGCGCTGCACATGTTAAAGAAAATGGATATGTGGGTAACTAAAACAAACAATAAAACTGTTGTAATAGGATGCATTAACGGTACAGAAAACCCCTAAATCTGAATTTATAAATGAAAAAAATACAATCCAGGAAAATGATTGGCGTAACTGAGAACTTTCTCTAGAAATGAGACGCATTTCACTCGAGCGCCTTCCCTGCACTGTGATATAGAGAATAAATGTTGTGGTTACACGTGAGTCCTGACATCTGCTTAGCGTTTTAAATACGGCATTGTTCAAATCCAACGCCATAGCTTTTGTCTGCAGTCTCGGACAGAATAACGAACGCTTTGAATATTCATGAAGTGGATGTTAGTCTAGCCATCTGTTGTTTTTTTGCTTTCACACAATCACTCTTCTCAGGTAACCGGAGACTTTCCCTTGCTTTATTAGACAACAGAAGTGAAGCCTCGAGCGAAAACACAATTAAGCTTCTTATTTGAGCCTGAAGGTCCTAAACATCAAATATAAAAACAAAATATTTATATGATAATTGATACACCAAAAATATTTCTACTATGCACTTGTTCATACAACTTCTGCATTACAGGAAGATTTATGATCTTGTCTTAAGACCGTAAAATCGGTTTCTCGAACCAATCAGCAGTATATCAGAGTTAGATATTTCAGGTATGGATGCCCCTGATGAACGAGATAACGCCTTATCTATTAGCATGGTCAGGATAAGAGGCAAAAGGAGGGAAATTTGGGTACCTGCCGGAGTGGCCTCGGGCTCTCCCCCGGGCATTTCTGATCCTGGAAATATTTTTGAATCTTGTGTAGTATAACAATGTACTGGTGCATATCAATCATTCTCTTTGGCGGTTCAAAGAATGACAAAGCCAGGGTATCACCTGGTCATGGCAAGTACATTTATAAATGTATGCTTGCATATACATATGTATATACATTCATACATGTATCTGTCTACACATATACAAGTATGTATAAATACATACATGTATACGTTAGTATGTATAAATACATACATACGTTAGTATGTACACATAAATTCAAGCATACGAGTGTATGTATGTGTATGAGTATGTATATATATAATATATATAATATATATATATATATATATATATATATATATATATATATATATATATATATATATATATATATATATACTGCATATACATATACGATATCCATATATACATATACATATATACATACATACATACATACATGTCTATGTTTACACATATGCATAGGTATGTGTATGTATATGTATGTGTATGTATATGTATTTATACATATATATGTATGTATCCAGTATGCATATATATGTATGTGTATATACGTATCTGTATGTGTATGTATTTTATGTATATGTATATATATATATTTATTTATGTATATGTATATATATGTGCATATATATAAATATATATATATATATATATATATATACATACATACATACATACATACATACATACATACATACATACATACATACATACATACATACATACATACATACATACATACATTCATACATACATACATTCATTCATACATACATACATACATACATACACACATACATACATACATACATATATACACACATACACACATACACATACACATACACACACACACACACACACACACACACACACATATACATATGTGTGTTTGCGTGTGTGTGTGTACATAACATATCTATATATATATACATATGTGTATGTATATGCGTATGTATATATATAAGTATACATGTATATGTATATGTAGACATATACATATGAATATATAAGTATATATATGCATTTACATACATATATACATACATATATTTATACACATGCATATATACACATGCATATATACATATGCAAATATACATATACATATACATGTGTGTGTGTGTTCGTAAATATATATGTGTATATACATATACTAACACACATATATATGTAAACATATATATATATATATATATATATATATATATATATATATATATATATATATATATATATATATATATATATATATATGCGCGCGCGCGTGTGTGTGTACGTACATACGTACCTAAATATATACAAATGTACGTGCGTGCGCGTGTGTAGTGTACATGTGTGCATAATGATGATAACAGTTCTTGTTGTTCACCTTCCAATATAAAATGAATTACCAGTATACTTGGCAAATAGTCTGTACACATCCTGTACATTCATTGGTATATTTCAGCGATTTAAAAATCTCCACAACGTTTAGCTTTTTTAAATGCAAATCTAATGCTAACAGACCTTCACTCGATACCTCAGATTATACAACGATATCGTACCTCGCCGACAGCAATATTCATCACGTCAAACAAAAGAGTGTTTGTTCAGCTCCAAGATTAAACATTTCCCACAAAGACGGAGTGAGGAGATCGCCAAGATAGCAAAAGAGATGAAAATCGGCGCCCCAACCGACGCCCGGTGGGTTTCCAGCCCCGCCCACTATAAAAGTGCACACACGAACACAAAACAAATATCTGCATTAGAGAATCTGATAAGACGAGAAAGCCCGGGAGGAGGAGGAGGAGGAGGAGGAGGAGGAGGAGGAGGAGGAGGAGGAGGAGGAGGAGGAGGAGGAGGAGGAGGAGGAGGAGGAGGAGGAGGGAGGGAAGGTGGAGGGGGAGGAGGAGGAGGAGGAGGATGGAGGGGAGGGGGGAGGAGGATGGAGGGGAGAGGGGAAGGATGGAGGGGAGAGGGGGAGGATGGAGGGGAGAGGGGGAGGGAGGAGGAGGAGGAGGGGGGAGGAGTATGGAGGAGGAGGAGGAGGAGGAGGAGGAGGAGGAGGAGGAGGAGGAGGAGACGGAGGAGGAGGAGGAGACGGAGGAGGAGGAGGAGGAGGAGGAGGAGGAGGAGACGGAGGAGGAGGAGGAGACGGAGGAGGAGGAGACGGAGGAGGAGGAGGAGGAGGAGGAGGAGGAGGAGGAGGAGGAGGAGGAGGAGGAGGAGGAGGAGGAGGAGGAGGAGGAGGAGGAGGAGGACGACGACGACGACGACGAGGAGCACCGGAGGACGGGAGAGGGTGTCCAAGGCAGCCACCCAAGAAGCCACGTGTGACGGATGACCACAGCCTCCCACTCTCCCGCTCGCCACGCAGGACCACGGGAGCTCTTTCGATTTGCCTCGCTTTTCACGCCTAGAGGAACTTTGTTGGTTTTCGCTAGAAATACATTTGTCGATAGAGGAAGGATCTGAGCAATCGGATATTTGGGTTTTGCTTGCAATGTTTTAATGATAGTTATGTACTTATAACCAGGACTTATGATACACAGTAAATTTTCACAAGTATGAAGTAACTTGATTGCTACTACCTACTGTGACTATGTTTAATAATCACGTAATGTTATCGTACTCTGTACTATTGCTGCAATATTACATATGCATTCATAAACAGAAGCAATCACGCCATCGCCATAATGAACTCAGAAGCTTTCCCGAAGATCCACCTGGGACGTGATGACCAGAGTAATCCGTTATAATAATAAAGGTCTGAGGTCTTCCAACTTCTGGGTAATTGGTAGTTGTACTTGACCCTTCCACCCACTCGCTCAGCACCCCTTCCCCGCCCACCCTTTCTTTTTCCCCCCTCCCCCTCCCCCCCACCTTAAGTCCAAGCAAGCCCCTTTAATTCCACCTCACCCCTCCCCTCTCCCCCTCCCCCATCTGCATGAGGTCACCCGCATCTTGATCTGTCTTAAGCCGACCTTACTCGGTGACCGTGATTT